CCAATCTCTATAATGTTGGGTAAACATTAAAACTAATGGACTCAAGTGTCAGAATGATGCTATCGGTACTAATGTTTCTTATAGTTTATACCCAGGTGATTCTATCATAAGAGCAGCATAATTTCCAAGCACAGACAGGTTTATGGGTCTGCTCATTGTCTCTGTCTCCTTCTTATTTAATTAAGTGCCCAAGGAAATCACTGATAAGTTTCACTGACAAAAGTGAAAATGTTTTCTCATAACTTTCCTTTCTTTCTTCCTTTCTTTTTAAGATATTCTTTCTTCTATCACGTCGTCAGGTTATTTAAATGACCACGATGCTGTTACCAAGGCAATCCAGGAGGCCCGCCAGATGAAGGAGCAACTTCGGAGGGAACAACAGGTGCTTGATGGGAAGGTGGCTGTTGTGAATAGTCTGGGTCTCAATAACTGCAGGACAGAAAAGGTCAGTTCCTGAGACTCCCTTTTCTGATAGTCACTGATAGATCATATTCTTGCCATGTTCACACAGACACTGCTTCTCCCACTCCTTTCTTTTCCTCTCTTTCCTGCTCTGTCTCCCTTCTTCCTTTTAGAACATCTGTTTCTGTAACAGAAAACAAGAAATCCCAGCCACACACAGGCATGGAGACACTAGAGAATAAAACTTACTTAAAGTCCTCATGAAAACTTTGGAGACCACTCATTCTTTGTTCCAGGCTGTCAATATGTATTATGACTAGGTGATCTTTGATATATCTGGGTTTGAGTGAAAGTCTTGCTTTATGGACATGCTTACATGTTTTTTTGAGAGATGAGCTGGATTTGAAAATATGCAAGCTTCTTTAGGAACATAAGCTTTGCTGATACTCAAGCTCAGCTTCTGGGTATTTAGCCTTACGAAGTTGTCATATATGATGTTTCGTGACCATTGCAACATAGCACTGTCAAGTCATGTTAGATGACTTAGCAAAGTTGAAAAAACAGAATTGACAATACAAACTGCACCAAATACTTTTAGTGGAATTTAGAAATGATAAGAGTTGATGGCCCCTGCATTATTCTAATTTTGAACTGGCCTGCTCAGGTGTAAGAAGCAAAATTGTCATCTAAGTAATATTTTCCTCTCAAGTAATGGTTGTATACATTGCATCTAGCACTGTTGTAGGATTACAAGAGTCACAGGTTTCATCACTTCCTGTTTTTTTCAGGATACGCTTGTGACTACTCTCTGCTGCCCTACCCTTAGGTGCCTAGATCCACTGCTCCCTTCCACATTTACCTTGAGCCAAGACAGTTAAACTAACACAGAAATATTCAAAAGTTGTTGGATGCTTCACAAATCTGTGGTATTATATATTTTCCACATTTTCCCCCAAATAGTTCTCCAGGCAAAACTACTATAATTCCACCAAATAATCAAGATAAAATATTATTGAATTTGGTGATCCCCATATGACTCATTCAAATAGGCAGACAAATAGAATAAAAATGATCAGCTACTTAGCAATAACTTGAAAGTCAGTCATCCTGGGAAGCTTGTGAGTCAAACAATGTTGTCCAGAACGAGCAGATTGCTACTTTGGATAGCTTTCCAGTTTCCCTGGTTTTTTAGGTGGAGTTTGATCAATAAGCTGTGAGAAGCCAGCAGACCGGATAATGAATGTTAAATGTACATGTAAGTCTGTCACTACTGTACTTTTTCACCAGTCTAGCATGGGTGTAAATGTTGTAGAAATGGCTCCAATTTCATGCACACTCCGGAGAGCAAGGGGGAGGAAAAAAAAAAGAGGTCAGTGTAATAGGTGTCTGGCAGTATATAAAACCTCCTTTAGAAGAATAAGGGCATTTGGTATGGGGGGGGAGGGGGGGAGTGAGAGCATGTTTATAGCATTTCACATAGAAGAGAAGCGGAAGGAAAGGGGGGAAAGTGGAGTGTCAGCTATAAGGCGAAGTGATCACAAGCACAAAGGAATTTATATTCAAATATTTAAGCATTCTTGAAAGGATGCTTGGAGCAGAAATTCCTTTTCTGTGCTCCCCATGTAGAAATGACTTTAACACTCAGCCAGATGCTAATGCAAAGTGACTCAAGCTATTCCTCGCAAGCATAGCTAAATTGCCGTTATTTGTTAAGCGCATTGAATTCAGCTGTGGATACAGCAGTTGGTTGCATTCAGAAAGCATCTGTACCCTTTTTTTTTTTTTAATCCTCCAAAGCAGAGACAACTCTACCTATCTCCCCCTTCTCCTCCCCTGTGCTGGCTGGGAATTGTCAAGTGACAACCGACCAAATCCTTTTGGACAGGAAGCCTTCATCCTGAGTCCTATATACTTGCAAAGCAGACCTTGTGGTTGGATCAGGGAGCCCATTAAAAGCACTTTGATGGTATGGAAATTCATCTTCATGAAGCACCCAGGCCCCTAAGCAGCATGCTGTTTAGCTGTGGTTACAGATCAGTCATTCACATCGGAGGGCAGTAATTGTGCTGACGGCTTGTACAGCAATGGAAGTACATAAAATAATCCCAGGCCCTCCACCATGGCACTGCAAGTTAATCTTCTTTAATACACAGATCAGCTGTTGTTCTAACACATGACTTTATGCTGGCTCTAGTGACTTTGCACAGCCCTTTGATTAAGTAACAGGAGTGGAACCATCTGCATTCGCTTTATTCTGTTACTTTCCTATTGTTATGCTCCTCCTCATCCCTTCTGTTTTCACTTCTCACCCTTACCGCAAGCTCTGGGGTTTATTTTGCTCTCTAGTTCATGTTCCCTGTGTGGCTTATTGGGGGAAGAAATTCTTTTAGGGTGTGCAAGGGGAAGATATTGTGTTTACAGGGTGGTGAGTTCAGTTTTTCTTTTCTAACGTGGAAATAGCTTTTTTGTACAATAGCTGCCAAACTTTATCAGGCTTTCATTTTTGAGTAGGGTTGGGAAACCTAGCTAAACTTTCCATAAATTCTGGGTCTTCTCAGCTAATTATAACCAGCCAAGAAGTTCTGATCCAATTCAGGATCTGAACTTCTCCAACGTTGGAGGGTGTTCGCATCTAAATTTTTATTTAAAGTTTTTATCAAGACCTCCCCTAAGCATATGATTTAAAAAAGGGGGGTGGGAGAGAGACAATGTAAGGGAAACTGACAGTATTTCCAAGATTTTTCTTCCCCTTCTCTCTTCTTCTTTCATGAAAAGGGAAGTCAGTGGGGAAAGAGAAACTGAGAACATTACAGATTGGTCTCTAAGGGCATGTCTATACATACCTCAACATAAGCTACACAATTTGAGCTTATTTTGGAATAGCTTATTTCAAAATTTGGCACTGTCTACACAGTGCTAATTTAGAAATAAATTGCTATTCCGTCATCTTTCTTAATCTTTGTGCATTGAGGTTTACAGGAAGCCGGAATAAGAACCTCTTATTTTGAATGTATTTCAAAAGAACAGGCATCTTAGCAGCATGACCAAAGTGTTTACATCAACAAGCTTAAGGGCCAGCCCAGTGATATAAGGGGCGAACACACCAAATTGCCAAAGGTCTTTGGGTTTCCTGCTTGTGTCCTTCACTGCCTGCAGAACAGGTGGGAATGGGAAACATAGCTGTGTCTGGCATATGTTGGAGAGCAAGATGATCCTAAATCACTGCATTCTCGCTGGAATGTTACTAATCTTTATGGGCAGGCACACAATGCCATGCCACGGTCCAGAGTGTGAGTCCCTTCTTTGCCAGTGTTGGTAAAATTACAGAGATAATTCTGGGGCAGGTTGAGTCTTTTTTCACACGAAGGCTATATCTACACTATGGAGGTTTTTTCCAGGAGAGCAGATGCACTCTTTCAGAAGCCCTATATTCCTCATTTTATGAGGAATAAATATGCTCTTCAGAAAGAGGAGGTTTTTCTGACAATTGATCCCAAATATCAGAAAAGCCAAATATCAGAAAAGCCTCTCCCAAAAAAGAATCGGAAAGATGTATGCAAATTGCAAACCACAATTTGCATACCTTTTTCTGAAAAAAACTCCAGCAGTGTAGATATACCCTAATAGTAATCCCAGCCAAACAGTGTCAGGGTCTGCATTTCTGAATTGCCCCTAGTTATGAGTACTATTAAGAATCTGTCTGTGGGGGTGGCTGGAAGGTGCAAGGGCAGGAAATCACCTTTATGAATGTGTAGTTTAAAGCATCAGGGACTGTTTTCCACATGTATTCATGTGACACACTGGCTAGTTTTCATGTTGCTAACTGGAATGGGCTCTACAGCTAGGTAGTGTTTTCAGTTGTAAGGCAGGAGCGAGACAGAGAGAATTTATGTGCGATTGCAAAGGCATTGTGCAAAAGGAGGCATAAGCAGGGAAAGATATTCAAAAGTGACTAGGACTTTTGGATATTTTGATTTGTGGGCTCCTAATACTTTGTGGGTACTTCAGGTCAAAGGTTTTTAGTAAAACCTACATCATGAATGTAGATTTTACTGAAATGTATTTTAATTGAAATGCTTTAAGATATTTTACTGCATACCCAAAGAAAAGAACATTAAAAATATAAATTAGAAAAGTGTGTATTTTTTCTGGTTTCTTGGAAACCCAGCAATATAGTTTTATTTGCAATTGCAATCTACAGTTAATTGTAGCTTGATACTTACTCTACAAAAACAATATTACCTTTTATACATGTAGCTCAAAGAGTGCAGATTTTCATCCAGATCAAACACTGCAGGGAACAGCATCAAAAAGTGGACTATGGTCTATTTGTATAGCAAAAAAACTGCACAATCTGCTACACATTGAAGGTACACAACCACAGGTTCTGGCGTGCATGTGCCTTCATACAAACACACAACACAAATACACAACACATATTTGCATAGAACAGATGCATATGCTCCATCCCCGACAAAAATGTAGCCAGACATTTGTATATGCACTCAGACCTATATACATGAACATACTCAAATATCTGTAAAAAGATACACACACACGTGTATGGAAACAGGTCCACAAATACACATTCATATGCGTTCAGGTATGCTGCATCAAGTAGACTTACTAATTTCTGACTGCCCTGCACACAGGCAGTGCACAGACAAAGCACACTCAAAGCTGAGTACGCTACAAAAAACATGTGTGCACACATTGCATAGTGTTTCTTAACCTATGATACCAGTTCCCTCACTTATTGCTGAGAGTACATTTCTCTTCTAAAAAGCTCTGACATGTACTTGTCTGCTGGGTTGTAACTAAAGAGCTATTTGTAACAATATTTATTCCAGCATTGTAAGCAGAAGACTGTTTTTATTACTCATGCTTTTAGAACAGTAGGTCGAAGATGCCTTTCCTCCCATTTCCGCCCACCTCATCTCCTCTCATCCTTCCCACTATACCTCCTTCCCCCCTCCACACACACCCCACTTCTCTCTTCCCTTTAACAAAGTGCCAAACATGAAATGACAGTGACCAATGTTG